ATATTCTTTCTCTAATTCCTCAACACATCGAAATATGTTTTAAATAATAATTTTTAAAGTAAATACAAAATGACGAAGCTAAAGAACCAAATCTTCAATAAAGCGATGATTGTCGCGAAAGTAGTCGCGAATTTAGCAAGAAATTAAATTTAAATCAAAGTGTTTATATTTAAGCAAATCATGTTAATCAATTATTTCTTATAATTTTAAGTCAAATTCCTTAATGATTCATAAATTGTAATGTGTTAACGAATTCCCATGCTAATCTGATATGCCATCTAAACACTTTCTGTCTTATAAAGCAAATTACTTCTAATCTAATGATTAATCTTGTAATACGCATTCGTTCCTGTCTTTATTCGTTATATCATCACCTTATTCCTTTTATAAAAACTATATCTTTCTCATAGCTATCTTGTAGTCAACCATTTTATCAATCACTTTATATCACCACGCCCAAGTAAACAATCCTTTAAAAGACCACCATTATCATCCAAACAGATTTCCCGGAGTTCCTCACTTAACTGATCTTAACTCTGCTTCATTTCGCTTCAACTGTTATTTTATTCACTGTGTTGTCAATAATAAAGAATCTCAAGAACTCCCATCCCATCGCATCAAATCCAAACCCGAACCGAGTCAAACTAAATCAATCCAATTCAAATCCCACAACAATGATAAATTGCACACTGTTGATACCAGTACCCATTTTAAGTTGATATAAACACTGTTTAAAATCGTAACGATTCATCTGTGTCAAAATATACCGTGCTCGTGAAGTATCATATTCACCAACTAAGCAAAATGCTTCATCACGATCAATTTTCGGATGTCGATAAGTACCGATCAAGAACCAATTCCTGAAAAAACGTTTTGTAATCAGATCGGCGACGATTCATTTTACAATGTTAAAAAGGTGAAGTGTTATACGATTCACTGATCAATCAACGAAATCCTTGTCGAATATTCCGATATACGAAATAGTTAAATTCTTCTTTGGCTCAGAATTTTGCTTACCTTTTTTTATTTCGTCCTTCAATACTCTTTCTGTCTGAACTATCATTTTCACTTTCTCATCTGAATAATTTTCGAAATCATTCTGTACGCAATAGGCAAAATAATGAAAAAGAACATGCAATGAATAAAACAAGAAAAAAAGCATGCAATTAGTAAAACAAGAAAAAAGCATTCAATTAGTAAAACAAGAAAAAACATGCGTGAGCAAACAAGAAAAAAAGCGTGAAATTAGGGAAACATAAAAAAAATCATGCAATTAGTAAAACAAAAAAAAAGCGTGTAGTGAGCAAATAAGAAAAAAAGGCATGCAATGAATAAAACGCAAAACAAAAGTTTTAGAAGTAAAATACAAAAAATGCATGCATATGAATTAGCAGGCAGTTAATAAGAATAAGAAAAAAGCATAAAATAATTTTAAAGTGCAGAAATGCGAAAAAAATCAAACGTTGACAGAAAATTAAAAAACTGCAAAAAAAAAATCAAACGCTGACAGAAAATTAAAAAACTTCAAAAATTCCTAAAAACTTAAAACTTTGTTAATTCAAAAATGTATCAAAAAATTAATGAGGAGATTCAAGAGTTTAAAATCCTCTCCTAGAATTTTAGAACCTTTGACTGAATTCAAGAATTCTAAAAAATTTTTCAAAATTTCGTATTGGTATTGAGTTTTTCAAGAAATTCATTATTAGTGTGCACCGTTGATCCCCTTCATTGCCCCTGTCAAAAGATATTAAACTAAAAATAATCATTAGAATTGGTACCAAGTCGTGATAAAATTTAAAGAAAAAAAAGCTTATAAGTCGGTGATTTCACAATTTCTAAATATGCTAACTCATAAATATAATTCAGAATATAAGCTTAAATACAAATAAAATTTCAAATAGATAAATATAAAAAAAAGCACAGTTAGGCTATCCAACCATCTAATAATTAAAATCAAATTATTTCAACGTATGTTATTGTGTAACTAACAAAACTAAAAAACAATTACTGCAAATTGAACAATACAAAATTAAAGAAAAAAACTACGGCTTGGTACCGACATATGCAATAAATTGAATAAAAAATTTAACATTAAAATACAACTTCAGCTAATGAATTAACATTAAAAATTAAAAACGATAACAGTAAAAAAAACTTTGAAAAATATTACCGTGAACTCTAACAAACAAACGATCGTTATTAAAAAAAAAAATTAAAATCCATTAGAAATACAAACCAAACTAATAAAAACACAAATACAACTTAATGAAAAACATATTATCTCAATAAGAAATTAAACACTTCAACAATGAAATTAAAGAAAATTTAATCAAATAGAAAACAAGCAAGAAAACAAAAAATAACTGAATTCAAGATTACTTGAAACTAGTTTCAAATTTTTTTCTTCAAAAACGATCTTTGTGCTACTGTAAAAAATTTCTCATCTCAAATATCTTAATTTAAATTTCATCAAATATCTTATTTAAATTTCATCATAAGAGGAAATGTAAAGGGAAAACGTAAAACGACTACAAAATCTTCAAATTTCATTAATTCCGTTTCCTAGACTTTGAATTCAGTTATTTTAACAT